CCATGTCTTCCCTTACCCTGGATGACAGGAATGGTCTGATCTCCCCCTTCTAGCACCTGATGGTTTATCACGGGCAGCCCGAGGGATGCGTCGCCCGGAAGATGGACTCTGCGGAGAGCCTCCCGCCATGCCAGGACCTTGAGATCTACTTCCAAGCCGTGCTGGTAAATACGATACATGAGGCCGCACAAGGCGACGCCATCACTGCTCCAACATAAAATGTGCCATATGTGAGACAGACGTCCATAATGGCCCAAAAAAATGCCCCCAACACCTGTACAGAAGATGGGATATCTGACGTTGGTGACCTTGGCTGGCAGCCATTTTAGGCTAGGAGTGATTTTTCTTTGATAGGTTTACCAGCCAGGAAGTGAGCTGTGTGCTGAAAATATCTTCCCCCTATATAAGCTTCTGGACCACTAGAGTTATCATTGACGTTATAAAACCTCCAACATAAGCTGGTTTGTAGGTTTAGTTTATTGGGAACAAAGCCCCCCCATTATAGGACTCATATCTTCATCCAGTCCAGCTCCAGTCCTAGACAAGCCCCCCCCCCTCCATCCTCCCTGTACCCTGACCAATCGTCTCATCTCTCCCCCTGCAGAAGAATATCACGCTGGGTTTGTCGCTGGATGTCCAGGTTGTCGGGGTAGGATCATTGGGCAGCTTGGTGACCCTCCTGTGCAACAACAAGCCGACATACTTGGTAACCACCCTCCCACGTAAGTATGGAAAGCATCTCGCATACATCTCTCACTGCTGATTGGCTGCCACAGGTTATGGTACATTCAGCATCTTTCATTCCAGCTTATAGCAGCCAATCAGAACCAGTCATCTCCTGGTCTGACTTCAGGAAGGTGGATTCTGATTGGCTGCACCCAGCACTCCTCATTGGTCGAGGGTGCTCATGTGATCCCAGAAATGAAAACAAATGATGAGATGACCTGTTTTGTACTTGCAGCTCCCAGCAGAGGGCACACCAGTCTGCCGGCCTGATGGGTGTTCTGACCCGGCTTGGAATCCGCCTTCCCGTCTGTGTATAATATGCCTAGAACCACCATAGTGCCATCCGGCTACAGCCGCCAACATATACCGGAGCTTCTGCCTGCTAGGATGCTTGATGTGTACCTGTCTCTGGGCACAGCCAGTACCAGCAAGGCCGACATCTATCAAAACAAACCCCACCCACGAGGAACATAGACCCCGCCCCCTGTGAGCAGAGCTGAATTGCATGCAAATATTGATATGATGGCTCATCTCTGTGTAGCCCCAATACGTATTCATAAATACTCACTATAATGACCGAGTTCTGCACCGGCAGACAAGCCATGTGACCGCCTATTAGAAGCAAGATACCGCATGCCGGCTCCTCCTCAATTTGTAAAAATATTGGACTGGTACATAGAAGCCCCGCCCTCTATTTGCAGTTCTAGCGCTCTGCACAGCCGCTTTAGATCCGACTCCAACTGTACTGCGCTTCGGTATGTGTGCATGCTATCAATAAAACAGATGCAAGTGTCCCTGTCTCAGAACTTACTAGATGCTTCTAATCCAATACGATGAATGCCTGGGCACAGCAGGTGTACAGACTCGGGAACTCAGCACAGGGATGGTGGGAGCCCCTCATAATGGGCACAGCAGGTGTACAGACCCGGGAACTCAGCTCAGGGATGGTGGGAGCCCCTCATAATGGGCACAGCAGGTGTACAGACCCGGGAACTCAGCTCAGGGATGGTGGGAGCCCCTCATAATGGGCACAGCAGGTGTACAGACCCGGGAACTCAGCTCAGGGATGGTGGGAGCCCCTCATAATGGGCACAGCAGGTGTACAGACCCGGGAACTCAGCTCAGGGATGGTGGGAGCCCCTCATAATGGGCACAGCAGGTGTACAGACCCGGGAACTCAGCTCAGGGATGGTGGGAGCCCCTCATAATGGGCACAGCAGGTGTACAGACCCGGGAACTCAGCTCAGGGATGGTGGGAGCCCCTCATAATGGGCACAGCAGGTGTACAGACCCGGGAACTCAGCTCAGGGATGGTGGGAGCCCCTCATAATGGGCACAGCAGGTGTACAGACCCGGGAACTCAGCTCAGGGATGGTGGGAGCCCCTCATAATGGGCACAGCAGGTGTACAGACCCGGGAACTCAGCTCAGGGATGGTGGGAGCCCCTCATAATGGGCACAGCAGGTGTACAGACCCGGGAACTCAGCTCAGGGATGGTGGGAGCCCCTCATAATGGGCACAGCAGGTGTACAGACCCGGGAACTCAGCTCAGGGATGGTGGGAGCCCCTCATAATGGGCACAGCAGGTGTACAGACCCGGGAACTCAGCTCAGGGATGGTGGGAGCCCCTCATAATGGGCACAGCAGGTGTACAGACCCGGGAACTCAGCTCAGGGATGGTGGGAGCCCCTCATAATGGGCACAGCAGGTGTACAGACCCGGGAACTCAGCTCAGGGATGGTGGGAGCCCCTCATAATGGGCACAGCAGGTGTACAGACCCGGGAACTCAGCTCAGGGATGGTGGGAGCCCCTCATAATGGGCACAGCAGGTGTACAGACCCGGGAACTCAGCTCAGGGATGGTGGGAGCCCCTCATAATGGGCACAGCAGGTGTACAGACCCGGGAACTCAGCTCAGGGATGGTGGGAGCCCCTCATAATGGGCACAGCAGGTGTACAGACCCGGGAACTCAGCTCAGGGATGGTGGGAGCCCCTCATAATGGGCACAGCAGGTGTACAGACCCGGGAACTCAGCTCAGGGATGGTGGGAGCCCCTCATAATGGGCACAGCAGGTGTACAGACCCGGGAACTCAGCTCAGGGATGGTGGGAGCCCCTCATAATGGGCACAGCAGGTGTACAGACCCGGGAACTCAGCTCAGGGATGGTGGGAGCCCCTCATAATGGGCACAGCAGGTGTACAGACCCGGGAACTCAGCTCAGGGATGGTGGGAGCCCCTCATAATGGGCACAGCAGGTGTACAGACCCGGGAACTCAGCTCAGGGATGGTGGGAGCCCCTCATAATGGGCACAGCAGGTGTACAGACCCGGGAACTCAGCTCAGGGATGGTGGGAGCCCCTCATAATGGGCACAGCAGGTGTACAGACCCGGGAACTCAGCTCAGGGATGGTGGGAGCCCCTCATAATGGGCACAGCAGGTGTACAGACCCGGGAACTCAGCTCAGGGATGGTGGGAGCCCCTCATAATGGGCACAGCAGGTGTACAGACCCGGGAACTCAGCTCAGGGATGGTGGGAGCCCCTCATAATGGGCACAGCAGGTGTACAGACCCGGGAACTCAGCACAGGGATGGTGGGAGCCCCTCATAATGGACACAGCAGGTGGGGGCAGAGCTGGGAACTTAGCAGAGACCCCCCCCCCACTAGAGTCCTCGAGAGATAGAAAAGACTGAGGAAGGTGAACCTTCTGGTATGCACAAACCTCTATATTATGACTTCTGGGTGGAGTGATTCTATGATTGATTTCAGAACAATTGAACACGGGAGGGATATTTTCCCCTCTTCCTGGCCTCTAACCTGGAAGTGGGGCGAGCCTTCAGTTCCAGAGCCGCCATTCCCCCTCCCACATTCCCCCTTCCTCCAATCACAGACACAATGTGGGGTCAGTAACAAGTGTCCCTGTCTCAGAACTTACTAGATGCTTCTAATCCAATACGATGAATGCAATTGTTTGGATCCACACCGGGCAGATTCTCCAGAACACTCTGCAGGAACTCCGGATCTTGCATAACGTCATAGTCATCCTCCTCCTGGGGGGGGAGGGGGGCAGATGAAGACATACAGTGACAGGCTCAGGAGCTTACAGTTTATGGTGCAGGGATTGAAGAATGGGGTGGGGAGGATAGAAAGGGGCAGAGGAAGGAAAGGGGGGCGGAGGAAGATAGATGGAGGGAGGGTGGTAGAATGGTAAAGAATGGGGGGGAGGAGACACTCATGTCGGGGGGGTAGGTGGTAGAATGGCAAAGAGTGGGGGGGAGGAGACACTCATGTCGGGGGGGTGACTTACCTTGGCAGGCTCAGAAGTGTCCATCACCCCACTGCTGTCCAGATCACCGGATTCTGCCGGCCCAAATTCTAGTGGAAGAGAAGAGATCAATAATCTATAATCAGATTCTACAATCTCCAAATATCAAATCAAACAATAATATGCCGATATACTGCGAGCACGGATCATTCATGTTGTGTACTCTCCCTTTATATGTACCGTGCCCTCCCCTCCTCCATCTAATACTTGGGTAATGGTGTACCGTGCACTCCCCTCCTCCATCTAATACCCGGGTAATGGTGTACTGTGCACTCCCCTCCTCCATCTAATACTCGGGTAATGGTGTACCGTGCACTCCCCTCCTCCATCTAATACCCGGGTAATGGTGTAACGTGCCCTCCCCTCCTCCATCTAATACCCGGGTAATGGTGTACTGTGCCCTCCCCTCCTCCATCTAATACCCGGGTAATGGTGTAACGTGCCCTCCCCTCCTCCATCTAATACCCGGGGTAATGGTGTACTGTGCACTCCCCTCCTCCATCTAGTACCCGGGTAATGGTGTACTGTGCACTCCCCTCCTCTATCTAATACCCGGGTAATGGTGTACTGTGCCCTCCCCTCCTCCATCTAGTACCCGGGTAATGGTGTACTGTGCACTCCCCTCCTCCATCTAATACCCGGGTAATGGTGTACCGTGCACTCCCCTCCTCCATCTAATACCCAGGTAATGGTGTACTGTGCACTCCCCTCCTCCATCTAATACGCAGGTAACCACATACCGGCGCCCTGTAGAGACATTTGCATGGCGTAGGCAATCTGCTCATCTTCCGTCATACTGCTGAAGTCTGGCAGCCCAGTGCGGCACCCCTCCTGCTGTCCAATGGTCATCTTTAGCAGCGCTTCATCAGAATCTGGACACAAACACAACACAACGAGTGTAAATGGCGGGCTGAGCCTAGGGAAGACCATGGAACATGACAACCACACCCAACAGCACAACTCTCACCATCTCCGGCAGTGGAGGTGATCCCGGCTTCAGCAGCTGATGCAGCGGCTGCCCTCCTGGCCTCCTCCTCCTGGCGCTGCCTCTGTTCCTCCATAGACACACGAAGAGCCTGACCAATAGGGAGAGCAATAAGGAGGGAGAAAGCACAAGAGCCGGGAAATGATGACACATGACGAGGAAATGCTGCACACAATTCATTCTACCTTCTAAATGTGCCACATAAACAGCGCCAGATGGAGCTACAACTCAGTATAGAAGTATGTAAGACATACAGAGAGAGTAATGTCCCTGAATAGAGACTGGAGCCCCAATCCTGGGGGGACTGGAATGAGAGAGACAGGGAATGGGAGGGTGTCAGTAAAGGGAAGGGAGAGGAAAGAAAAAGGTAGGGGAAGGAGAAAAA